CGGATTCCGTCGCGCCGCGCGTGGAAATCGTCGATCTCGGCCACGATGGCCGCCCGGATCTGCTCCTTGGTCAGCGCGTGGCGCTCGAARGCGAAATCGAAGGCGGGGACGCACTCGGGCTCGTCCTCGGGGTCGTGGTATTTGGCCAGGAASGGGTGGCGCAAGGCTTCGGCCACTCCCACGCGTTCCCGAGGGTCAAACCGGAGCATCCGTCCCAGCAACGCCAACGCCGCCGGCTCGGCCGCGCCGAACAGAGCGTCCCACGCCACCGGCGAGCGCGGGGCCAAACTCTGGACGTACGCACGGACACGCTCGGCGCCGATCGCAGCGGTCAGCGCGGCCGGAGGAGTGCCCAGCACCGCCATGATCAGCTGTAACTGATGGACGTAATTCCGGCCGGGGAAAAGCTGCCGGCGGCCGAGCATTTCGGCGAAAATGCACCCCACGCTCCACATGTCGATGGCACGCGTGTAACGGTGCAGCGACAGCAGCAGCTCCGGAGCGCGGTACCAACGCGTGGCCACGTACTCGGTCAGGAAGGGTTTGGCCTGGCGAGGGTCAGCGCCCAGCCCTCGGGCCATCCCGAAATCGCCGATCTTGAGCTCGCAGTTCTCGTTGACCAGCAGGTTGCTGGGCTTGAGGTCGCGGTGMAGGACGTTGGCGGAGTGGATGTACTTGAGGCCGCGGAGGAGTTGGTACAAAAAATAGCGGACGTGCTCGAGGGTGAGCGGCTGCGAGGAGTGGATGATCTGGTGGAGGTCACTCTCCATCAGGTCCAGGACAACGTAGCTGCGGACACAGGGGGGGATGGGCAGAGTGACCACACTGACCACAGTGACCACAGTGACAGCATGGGGGGATGGGCAGAGTGACCACAGTGACCACAGAGAGGGAGCAGAGTGACCACAGTGACCACAGTGACCACAGTGACCACACAGAGGGGGAGGGGCTGGTGAGGAGTGGATGATCTGGTGGAGGTCACTCTCCATGAGGTCCAGGACAACGTAGCTGCGGACACAGGAGGGGGAGGGGCAGAGTGACCACAGGGGAGTGCATGGGGGGATGGGCAGAGTGACCTCAGTGACCACAGTGACCACAGTGACCACAGTGACCAGAGTGACCACACAGAGGGGGAGGGGCTGCGAGGAGTGGATGATCTGGTGGAGGTCACTCTCCATGAGATCCAGGACAACGTAGCTGCGGACACAGAGAATGGGCAGAGTGACCACAGTGACCACAGTGACCAGAGTGACCACAGTGACCACAGTGACAGCATGGGGGGATGGGCAGAGTGACCACAGTGACCACAGGGAGAGGGTGAGCGGCTGCGAGGAGTGGATGATCTGGTGGAGGTCACTCTCCATGAGATCCAGGACAACGTAGCTGCGGACACAGAGAATGGGCAGAGTGACCACAGGGGGATGGGCAGAGTGACCACAGGGGGGATGGGCAGAGTGACCATAGGGAGTGCATGGGGGGATGGGCAGAGTGACCACAGTGATCACAGTGATCACACACAGAGGGGGAGGGGCTGGTGAGGGGGGATGGGCAGAGTGACCACAGTGACCACAGTGACCACAGTGACCAGAGTGACCACAGGGAGAGGGGGAGGGGCTGGCGAGGAGTGGATGATCTGGTGGAGGTCACTCTCCATCAGGTCCAGGACAA